GCCAAAGCTAACTCAGATTTAAGCTCCACCCTGAGTACATCACTAAGAAGAAAGCAGTAAGTTAAACATATGTGCATGCCCTACTGGCAAGAGCCAGTAAGCCAAGCTCAGGCATTATGCAGACTAATCTGACACTGTAGTTTGAATCCAAGCCCATAAACTCAGTTATAGCTATTCCCAAATCCTACAAACAAAACAAAACAGAAAACAAAACAAAACAAAAAATCCTTCATCAAGAAAACTGACCTGTGATCTGTTTCAGACAGGTGATTTAGTATAGATTTGCAGGCCCTTGTTTGCAACAGTTATAAGGCCCATACTGACCAGCCCACCCTTGACCAGACTTCATTCCCAAGACTAATATCAAATTTAATCCAATCCCTAAAGCTACATTAGTGATTCCAATTAAACTGTAGCCCAAAGCTGTTCATGCAGAAGGCTGTTACAACCTGGGGCATATTAGACCTAAAACTAACTCTAATCTACCTCTTACCAGCCATCAAAACCCGGCAAGGCTTCCTGCATTACCTAGATCTAATCAGTAGCAGACAGCCTCAGCAATTTTAAGCTTGGCTTGGTGGCCCCTTTTATTTTAGTACAGTACTATTGGCTGCTGTGGGACTCCTGGCCTCTAGCAGTACATCTGTGTCGAGAAGTAGGGCATTAATGACCTGTACTCTTACTCTCTTGCTTCTGCAGACTCTTGTCCTGTCACTTGTTACTTGGGAGAGGAGACTGACCCCCACCTCACTACAACCTCCTTTCAGGTAGTTGCAGAGAGCAATAAGGTCCCCCCTGAGCCTTCTCTTCTCCTGACTAAACCCTCCCAGTTCCCTCAGCTGTTCCTCATAAGACTTATTCTCCAGACCCTTCACCAGCTGTGTTGCCATTCTCTGGACCTGCTCCAGCACCTCAGTGTCTCTCTTGTAGTGAAGGGCCCAGAACTGAACACAGTATTTGAGGTGCAGCCTCACCAGTACAGAGTGAGGGGGATGATCACTGCCCTGGTCCTGCTGGCTACACTATTTCTGATACGGGCCAGGATGCTGTTGGCCTCCTTGGCTGCCTGGGCACAAGCTGGCTCATGTTCAGTGGCCATCAGTCCGGCACTTCAGGCCCTCTGCTGAGCAGCTTTCCAGCCACTCTTCCCCAAGCCTGCAGCGTTGCATGGGCTTGTTGTGGACCAAATGCAGGAGCTGGCACCTTGCCTTGTTGAACCTCATATCAACGGCCACAGCCCATAGATCCAGCCTGTCCAGATCCTTCTGCAGAGCCTCTCTATCCTTCAGCTGATCAACGCTCCCAGCCAACTTGGTGTCATCTGCAAATTTACTGAGGGTGCACTCAATCCCCTTATTCAGATCATCAATGAAGATTTTAAACAACACTGGCCCTAACACAGAGCCCTGAGGGACACCACTAGTGACTGGTGGCCAACTGGATGTGACACCATTTACCACCACTCTTTGAGCTCAGCCATCCAGCCAGTTTCCAATCCAGCAAAGAATACACCTATCCATTCCATGAGCATGGAATATCCTATCCATTCCAATGTCTCTGTGGGAGACAGTGTCAAATGCTTCACTTAAATCCAAATAGACAATGTCCACAGCCTTTTCTTCATCAACCAGGTAGTTCACCTTATTGTATATGGAGATCAGGTTGGTCAGCAGGACCTGCCCTTCATGAACCCATGCTGACTAGGCCTACATTTTCCCACAAGTGCTTTATGATGTCACTTAGAATCATATGTTCCCTGACCTTCCCTGGCAGTGAGGTCAGGCTGAGAGGTCTGTAGTTTCCAGGGTCTTTCTTCCTGCCCTTTTCATAGAGAGGTGTCACTTTGGCCACCTCCAATCCTTTGGGACCTGCCCACTAGACCAGGACTGCTGATACATGATGGAGAGTGGCTTAGTAAGCTCACCTGCCAGCTCCTTCAGCACTCCTGGGTGTAACCCGTCTGGCTCCATAGACTTGTGTACGTCTAAGTGAAGCAGGAGGTCACTGACCATTTAATCCTGAATTATGAGGACTTCAATCAGCTCCCCATTTCTGCCATCCAACTCAGAAAACTGAGTACTCTGAGAATGGGTGGTGGGGCTACTAAAGACTGAAGCAAAGGCAGCATTAAGTACCTTAGCCTTTTCCTCATCCTCAGTCACTAGGATTCCTCTAGTTTCCAGTAGAGAATGGAGGTTCTCTTGGCCCTCCTTTTATTTGCATAAGAATCAGTTACTAATTTAGAAGAGGAAGCAGATTTGACCTGTTCATCCATTTCTTTTGCCTTTCCTAGCACCAGTTCAAATTCACTGATATTGGCAAATAGATGAAAAGGGTTTCATTTTTCATCTTTCCTGCTCAGAACGAAGAAAAAAAAAAAAGCTTTTTTTTTTTTTTTTCCCCTCTAGGCAATATTCACACTAATTGTACTCAATATGTACAATTTTTTATCACAGATTTTCTGGCATGTATATATTAAAACTAATTTATTAATCTATCCACAAAAATGCACCTGAACTGAGTAATACAAAACCATTAATTGACGACTCCATTGATTCTTCATATTATTTACTGTAATGCTGCTATCCTACCAAAGGTAAAAATCTTCCCATGGGATATCCACAAAAGCTATGAACCATTTAATTTCCCACAGACAGAGCTTACTGAATTTTTGACTGTTTGACTGAACTAATGGGTTATAAACCTGAAAATCCTCATTTGGTTTTGATAGTTACAATTATTATGGGTTTGTTTTGTTCTGCAACACTATGAGAAATTTCTCTTAACTGGCTTTTTGAATATTAGAGTATTTTTTTACTGCTCTTTGCTGCTGATAATTAACTGCAATTTACAACAGTGTGGAACCTCATGCTACTCTGTGTTATGAGTCATCACAAGAATCTGCACATCTAATGATATAATATTGTTTCTTATCTCAGATAAAGTGCAGATAATTTACACCAAAAAAACCCACTACACAACGCAAAATGGTTCACATGAAAAAATGGTAAATGACTGGAAATAATGCATATAAATCACATATGAGTCACTATGTGCTTTTTATGTAGGGCCTGATGGACTAAGACCCTGTGTGCTAGTGGCTGCCAGCTTCCTCTAACTTCTACACATTGCTCTTGCATAAATTCAACAATCTGAAAGTTTCCATTGTAAAGTAGTTATTTATGCCGTGCCATTTGTCAGCAGAGGGAGTCAAGCATTTCAGGGTAGTGTCATATCCTTTCCCCTAATGATGCATCCCTTCCCTTCATGCTCCCTTTCCCCATTTTATATTACTTGGAATAGGAGGTATCAATCTCTCTTCATCGACTATAGAGGTGACCCAGTTACAAGGGAGCCTGACTTTTGCAGGAGTAGTTTTAGGAGCAAATATATCCTGGTCTGAATAATCACAATGGAATAACTCTTTTGCAGTACTTATTTCACCTGCTGTAAGATCTTGCGCAATATATATTTGCTTGAACAGCCTGTATACCACTTCATGTCATTGGGAACTTCTACTGAAACCAAAACTTTCTTGCATCATAATGGCATTTTTGGTCACAGAAGAAGACTTCACCCTGAATTAGGAATCACTGAATTCAAGTGGTCTACATCTCATTTACTGAAGTATGGTGTCTCATTTCTGCATATCAGGAATTACTAATGAACTAGTCGAGTTAATGCTCCTTTTTACACTTGTGATGCAGTCAGACTTCTTATGATAGAATCTAAAGGAAGTTATACAAGATTAGGAGTAAAATTTATAATGATACTCTACTATCAAAGTCTACAGTATCCAGGATATATTCAATGGACTGAATGGGAATACAGACATCAACTAACCTCAGAAGACTGGATCTAAACCCAAATCTGAATCTGATGTTGGGACAATCTGATTATAAAATAACACCTGTTATTTCATGAATGTGTTGCAAGAAGCTTGCTTTGTAAGTGTATTCTACTCTTCATCCTCTTCAGTATCATTAGTGAATATTCACTTAACTTCTCCAGAAGCACACAGAAATGCATGTTTGTATACAAAATATCATGACACATGTAAAATATTTTTCTATTAAAATAGCTGATCGGGAGGGTTGCAGTATTTTATAATCATCTTTACTATTTTTGATCTCAGTATACACAGTTGCCCTTAACCCATGAAAGCTCATGGACATTTTTTTGTGTATTTCCACCAGCAGAAATTCTGGGCTTATAGCACAAGTAATTTTGTTATCCTATGACATTTTGTGGCATGTTTCGTTTGTTTCAGTTATCTCACTACAGTAGCAGGCTACTGCAATCAGATGGCTTATGACACTTTAATGTTTTTGGGGGGTTATTTTAAGAAAAAGTGGTTTATTTTATAAGAAAGAAAAAAAAAACAACAAAAACCAAAACACAATTTCTTTTATTTATTTCCTGAGGACTTCTCACTTACACAAATAGGCACTAAACATTTGAAATTGACTTTCCAGAGCACAGCAGTAAAAAAACCTGAAGAATTCAGCTTAGTTTCATTTAAAACAGTAAAAATTGACCTTGTAAACATTTCCATAGGAGGTAGAATACATACATTTGACAATCTGTCAAATAAGAGAAAGTAAACAGTTACTCTGCGGTCCTAATAAATAATGAGCAACAGAGGCATTAAATAAACACTTATATACAAAAAGATGTAAGTGAAAGACTAAAACAGCATTTTTAATAAATTAGGAATAGATGTAGTAATTTCTTTACAACTTAGTCTTGCAAGAATCACTGCCTCCTTCTGCTCACCCATAATTTTTGACTGAAAAGTCATAATGGTGATCTTGAATGATTCACAAGCAGGACTGAATTTTAATATAGCTATTTTTTAATGTGTGAAGCACTGCTAATATCCCTCCTTTAACATCTATATGTAATACTTTTGTATTCCATCAACTTGGAGGGGATTGTATCATAGCCTTAATATCTGGATTTGGAAAGTAAGCTTTAAGGCATTGACATGTCTCTCCAAGTTAAGTTCCTCCAGCAGCTGCTCCCATGAATACAGTGTTGATTGGTGGTAAAGATGACACTATATCTCTGCTTGGTGGGCCGTGGGGCTCCAGATTTTCCTGAGAAGGGAACTGACCAGGTGTTCCATACATGCACTGGGAAGAAGATGTGGTTTGCATGTTTGAAGCTGTGGGGGGAAAAAAAGGTTATCACAATCGCAAGTTTTTTATCTATTGAATTTTACAAAAAAAACCAATCCAATTTCATCTGATGGAAACCTTAGCTACCAGGCACACTATCTGAAGGATGGAAATGTCAACACATCTATACTTCACTCAGTTTACCTATACTTCAATAAATTTTCTTCAGTGGCACCGACTTCTTGCAGAGCCTTAATGAGGCAAGTAATGTCTGATCTTCTGTGCAAGGCTAACAGGTAAGTAGGAAGATGTAATCAACAACAAAACAAACAGTGCCTTAGTTTATATCTTCCATGTAACCCTTTTTTGGAATGTGAGACCAAACTCAGATGCCCTGCATATACCAAAACAAACCCTTTGGGGTCAGGTAATTTCACCTAAAATTCGTTGTTAGTGGGATCTTTGCCTAAGACACACAGTTGCGGAAGCACAGGACAGGAAGGGACTATGCCGTAGAAAGCGTATGTCTAGACATCTCTGACCCAGGGTTCGTTTGATCTGTGTGACAGTGGGGATCCTTAAGAACCCTTAGAAGAGTTCAGTCTGTTATTAGCTCACTTAGTAGCTAGTAAGTGTTTCCTAGTACAGATTTTTTCTGCAATTGAGGTCCAGGTCAGTCATTCCAGTCCTCATGGACAATGGATCATAGTCATCCTTATGGAAGCGAAGAGTTATTAAACCCACTGTCCTGCAATTTTAAGTAAAACATATCTTATGATACATCCTGGGTAATGAGCCATTTAATCTCAATATTGCATCTCATATGCTATATATGTGAGCTACAATTTAATACTTAGCACTTGTTAGGATGCTAAAATGTTTGTAGCTCTTCCTCAGTCCCTGGCTATACTTACACATAGGAGTCCGACAGGCGACTGAAGGTGAGGACTCTGTGTAGTATGAGCCTGCTTGTTTTCTTCCACTGTCATCCAAGATATTCAGCGGATCATGTATATCATTGTATGATGGCAATGATCGAATGCTGCTTACGCTGCTGATTACAGAAACATGTTGATCCACCATTGTTCCAAGTCTGTGAGATTCGGGATAATTTATATTGTTTCCATAATACCCTATTGACAGGAGATTGGAAAAATACTGTTGAAGAGAAAGGGTAGGGTAGGAGCCTGTGATAACCTGGGACAAAAGGTAATTGTTACTGGCTGAGTTCCTTGAGAGTAAGATTATTTATGTACACATACAGTCTAGTAACATTAGAAATATATGCAGTGGTTGATCGAAAAGAGGGATGGTAACATGGGAGTAAAAAGAGCCTAAGAGTTCAGTCACTCCTTCAGTACAGAATTGCCCTTCCATTCTAAGATCAAGAATCAAACAGCAGCCCACAGTCAGTGTCTGTAAGAGACATCATGGAGACTCTTGTCCACAGTTCAGTGCTCCCTTCTGAAGCTCACCATCAAGGAAAGTATATATGGAAAGAAAATCTGCATGATAATACATACTTACTGCGTATACAAATCCACATAAAAGCAATAATTCTACTGTCTCTTTCTTCCAGGAGAGGGAGGTGGTTTTGCTGACCATATCTCTAAAGCAGATTGGTGCAATAACATTACATTTGAAATATGAGAAATACTAGGGACAACATCTCAAACTATTGCTAATGTACATGTTTATACTTTGTCCCACCACCTCGACCTTGTGACTAGAATGGTCCATTATGCCGATCCCAGAGGTAAGCTATCTCATGCCTGCTCTGTTTCATAATAGATGTTTGGGGCGCTTTTCAAGGGAATGTTAAGTCATAAGGTCAGCCTGGTTTTGCTTCCTTTGTGCAAGACATGACAATGGTGCCAAAGTAAGAACAGCATAGGCACAGCAGATGCATTTGAGGTCTACTGAGAATTCACCAGAGGAAACTAAATCCTTAAGTAACTTCTTAAGCTACTTTACAATATCTGTGTGTCATCAGAGAAGTGCAAAACAGGAAAGTATAAATAAGAGCTGAAAAACATCTTCCATAGAAAAAAGCACATAAAAGGTGTTTTACTCTAGCAAGAAAGAGAAACAGAAGGGAAAAAGAAAATATATATTAATACCGTTGGAAGCATTAGCAGGATATGCTGCTCCTGGGCATGTAGACACTGAGTTGCTCAAGAAATTAAAACTGCCAGTATTCAGAAACTGCATATTGTGTGTATCCTGAGACATGGATGAGGGACCATAGCTGGAAGGGGATCTGGCATTGTATGGAGACACAGCACAACTGTTGCTGAAGTAGTCTCTGGAGAACTGCTGTTCACTCAAGGCACTGAAGCGGCTGTGCTCTGCTCTGTGGTGGTAAACTCCTGGAGTGGAATGGGCCTGAGTTCTGAACATCGTCTGGTAATTGGAATTGTTTCCATAGTAATTCTGATTAGTTTGTGACAATGTCTGGTAAAGGGGTTCTGAATAGGAAGAGCACTGTGAATGTGTGGATAACACTGGACCTACACTTGGAGGTCTCACAGCCATTGGCCCCTGGTTGATAACACTTCCTCGGCTGACCATGGCTGGTGAAATGGGTGGAGTCATCAGGTGACCAGTGCTTTGAGACAGTTCCATCTGACCTGGAATAAATAAACATTAGCTGCAATCAGCATTCATACTGCAGTACTGCTGAATATACTGTTAAGACGCTGCCCCTCTAGTGACCCCCACCTATACAACCCATGCTCTTTAATCCATGGCTTCAGGGTATGAAGCTTCCCACTTTCATTCTCTGGCTTAGAGGCTGTCACATTCAATGAGAACATCCAGCAATTGGTGGAGTCACCATACCTGGAGTTATTTAAAAGATGTGTAGATGTCGTGCTTAGGAACATGATTTAGTGGTGGACTTGGCAGTCCTAGTTTAACAGTTGGACTTGAAGATCTTAAAGGTCTTTTCCAACCTAAATGATTTTATTGTATGTATGTATGAATTACAAGTCACGTGCTCCAGGTGTTACTGTTCATTCTCTCCTCACAGGAAACTCACCCAGCCAAGACGTATAGAATTGTTTTACCACTGTTCCAAGAGGATTTATTACTGGCAAGGATCTACAATTGCCATCTTCTGTAAACCAACACAGAGGGTGAGTTCATGAAACACTATTTACTAGAAGTCTTTATAAATGCATATGGTCATTGCTCCTCCTACAGCAATATGTTACTGTGGACTGAAAGCCTAACAAGCAAGTAAGAGAAGGAGAAACTGTAAGACCTGATACATACCTGTCAGATGCATATTCTCACTGTCTCCTGCAGCAAAAGGGTTCAGACCAGAAGCTACACTGCTGGGCTGACTAGCTGACAAGGACACGTAGGTTTGCTCTGCTAGACACTCATTTTTGACTGAAGTGTCACTGGGCAGAGGAGCAGCTTTGTTACGATTTGCTAGGAAGCAAGAGCTGGGTGATGCGGTAAAGGTGGCTTTGCTTGCATCTGGAAGAGTAAGTGAAAACTCTTGGTGGCTGTTACATATGGTCATTGCACACAAATTCACCACTACTATATAGACAGCATAGGAGCTGCCTGATATGTTCATATCTTTGGTTGCTTATTTTAAAACCCAGTGAAGCCTCTACATTGGCTACATGCTTTGCATGTAGCCAATGAATACAAATATTGCCCTAGTCTTGATCTTCCTGGTGGAATTGTTTGTATCATATTCCCTGACCACAGATCTACATCACGAAGTACCAACTTCATACTGCAGCCATCATAGTGAAGGTACAAATCAGATTGGTTGCCTTGTAATAAGAGTTAGCAATGAAGTCAAGTAAATAGCAATAAGAATGAATCAAGCCCATGACACTTCATCCTAAAGAATTAATAATGGGAATTTTAAAATGCTTGAACTCTATTTTCATAGTGATATCTAGAGAAAAGCATTTGGCATACTCAGCAGTTGTTCTGCTTTGTGCAGATTATTGATAAAGCCTTGCTATTTTTCAGTGGAAACCAGGACTTGACTTCATGGTTTCAAGGACTTCTCCTAAGTATCCAAGGATAAGGCAACTGCTACATAGGACAAACTTTTTCCTGAAAGATGTCTTAAAAGCATCAATTGTCAGACAAATTCTATGCAAGTTTCTTGCAGCAAAGGGCAGATTTAGGGTAACAACAGCTAAAAAGTTAAAGAGTGATTGCTGGTGCTAATGTTCATAAAAAAGTATTTCAGCAGAACTATTTTTATGCAGTTGAGTTTCAGTGAATTTTTGGGGATTAACTTGAACTAAAATTTGATCCACACCAAGCTTCATACATTTTTACAGCAAAGGACCTGGAGTATAATACTTCAAACTGTCTAACCTTGAAGAAGCCTGGTAAATGGGAAATGTTAAGGTTTTAAATTCCTTTTTTATCGCTTCCACATCGTAATACTTCAGCCAGATGCTAAACAGGGCTCCAAATTTGTGTTCCAACCTTGCAGGAATATTTGCATTTTGGTAACATTTAATATGTTCCTTTTTCCAGGACCTATTACACATTTAAGCTTTGGCAGAAAAACTGGATTAGGAATTTCTGACTTTTCTGCTACTTACACCTCTTTTCACACTTCAGCTTGTGGCCCTTCAGATGTACCTACAAGTGTTTGTTGCACCCAAGATGATTTCAGAGATCCAGTGTATTCACATTCCCATAAATTTTTATTAAGAAAACTATGGTAGGAAGGTGGGAATGAACTGTTGAGGGGTCACAAGTTTTTCAGGTAACTTTGACAATGTTGCATATAGCTACTCCTTCAGGAGAAGACAGTAAGCTTGTTTCTGTTTAAGCAAATAAGTCAATTTCTAAAAACACAGGAGTACATTTAAAAGAACTAAGCTCTAGTTACCTAAATTCTTCATGTACTTGTCCAGTAGATTTTGGAGTTCTTGTTCTTTGTCATTGTTGAACTGTGTCTCCATGGCAAGCAGGATGTACTCATCTAGTAGCATGCGGATCAAATGAAAAGAACCTTTGGGAGGAGAAAGAGAGAGAGTAGCTGAGTTATCTTTGTGACCATCTCTCACCACTCTACAAGAAGCAAGTGAAACAAACAAATAATTGTGGACTCTAAATGACCTGGCAAGACCAACAAGAAATAGTGCCTAAATTCTAGCTCTAATCTCTCTTTGCACTGGCCCACCTAGCTCAATTGTTTACTGTCCTGTAGGCTATTTGACCACTAATTACATCAAAGAAAAATACTGATGAAAGTGACACATGCTTTATACTTGAAGAAGGCACACAGTGGAGCTAGATAAGGCCAAAGTCTGCTAGAATGCCTCTGCTCTATTTCTGTTTGCCTTGTGCTAAATAACCAGACAATAACTGGTGAAGTCTTTGACCTCATTTCAAGGATATATCACATTAAAAATGTATGCCTCCTTATAGCCATTTAAAATACCCTCTGAATTTTAGATAACAATTTACCTATAACTAAAGAAATTATGTACTAGATTTAAAGTGAGTTTCACCTGCTCTACTATCTTCTATTTTATAAAAGGTTCTTTCCTAAAGTCCCCGAAAATGTAAACACTTTTAAAGATGGACATGTGAAACTTAGGTTTTAAAGACCACAGATATTTTTTAACTGATTGTCTACCGCTCCCGGAATTAAATGAGTCATGATCTGCCAAATTCCTTTTGCTTGTATTAAAACATAACATGCACAAGAACTTCTACATGGCAGTAATATTTTTTTGCCATACCGATCCACATGTAAAACAAATTATATAAATCTTCTGTCTCCTATACTGAGATATGCAGTTATATTTCCATTGCCATGTCAAAAACCCGCAGAGCTTTTCAAATGGCAAAGCAGTATCAAAATATCAATTCAAAATAAAAACAGCTTTTAAAAATGAATGTGACACTCATGAGTGTGAAACTCAAAAATGAATGTTCACTAACAAAATCTTGCTAGCATTTGCTGTGAAATGTTAGTTCGAAAAACACATTACACAACATTTGTGGCTTTAAGCAAAGCACCTATGTACAAAACATTAGTGTTTTTACAAAGCCAAAGCCTAGGTACCAAAACTTGATGCGTTGTTTAGAGTTAGATTATGCATCACTCGAGCACCGAAAAAACTCCATTTGAGAAGGAAGTCTTGAGCTCTCTTCTTTAATGACCTCCCATTTTGCTTGCTTGCCTGAAAGAGAGTAGTAAAATACTGTTAAGTATGCTAACTTGTTTTCTGCACAAAGGAGAAATGAATACACTTGAGAGTTCAAGGAGTCTTTGACTCAAGCTGATGTGACAGGGTTGGATCAAGCTACCTGATATCCTCACAATATGTGTCCTAAAGTGATAAAGAGCACCATTCACTCCTTTCAGTGCAACCAGAGTAGAACTCTGACAATGTTAGATGAAGCAAACTGCTTACTTCTTGGGCTCTGCTGTGCCCTGAAGGTGTATAAATTGCCTCATATTCTAGTATTAAAGGTGTCAAAATGTTCTATAAATATACATGTGTACAGTGCAGAAATAAATTTTAAAACACAGAAATTAGTCTTTGTACTTCAATGTAATCTGTCTAATACTGGCCAGACTTTCTCTCACAAAATGGTATGTTTACTGTTGTAACACTGACACTTTTAATGCTGTTCATTTCATACTGTCACTTTTCTTTGGCAATGATTTTTTCATGTGGTAATGTATGCCCTGTTGCTTTCTCAAACAGCAAGCAGAAAGAAGCTGTCGTGTGAGTTTGACAGTAACCACAATTTGGTATGAACAGAAGGCAGACAGCAATGGAAGGATAACATGTTCTGTAAATTATTAGCTTCTGCTTAGTTGACCTAGCCCCCTATCAGGACTCATTGGTATTTCTTACCCTTAACTACAGGAAAACAATGCTAGGAACCATACCTGTTAACTTTAATAATACCATATCACTTAGTAGGTGCTGAATGGGAGAGAGTTTCACCCTTTCTGCCTGGCTTCTTCATCAGGAATTGTCTTCTGAAATTGTGGAATGAATTTTAGGCCCTAATCATTTGGATCTTTAGATAAGTTGTAATTGCTTAGCTTCAGTGGGAGTTTTGTGTCTAGGTAAGTATGTGTGGGGATTTGCTTTGGCTCTGCTGCCCTGAACCATTCAAAGCTCTTCACTGTGCTGATTGCTTATGACAGCAAATGTTAGGAAACTCAAAGTGCTTTAAAAGAAAGAAATATCATTGTCTCCATTGAAACTTGGGAAAAGAGGTGAAGAAAGTAAAAATGACATGACTATGGTTGTTTTGTAAGTGGCAGAATCATTGTTCTGCAAGTCAGTCAAAGCTAACTGCACTGCCTCCTCCTCCTGCATCCATTCATACGAAGATGCTCCCTTAAATGGCGTATAAAATATTCCATTTCCAGATAGAACAAGACCTGATGAGAAGACCAGTGTTCAGCTCTAGCAAGCAATGGGTAACAATTTATTCTTCTAGTTTACATTAATTAGTCATGAATTGGTAAATATCTCTTATTTGAGCTATAACATAGAACTCAATTATTTTGTTCTGAGCTGCAGTATAACCATTCATATATAACTACACGCATATAAAATACTTGTGATTATACAGCATCTTGTAAATCAGGAGGGAAAAAAATCCCATCAAAACCATCAATTACTGCGTTAAGAACCGTAATAAAGCTACAAAACTGTATCTTTCAACCTGGTCTGTAGAAATCCTTCCACAGGTTAGCTGTTTCTGAATCCACCTGCTACATTAACTTACACCATTCAAATACCATGAAATCATAGAATCATGGAATGGTTTGGGTTAGAAGGGACTTTAAAGATTGTCTAGTTCCAATGTCCCTGCCATGGGTAGGGACACCTTCTACTAGACCAGGTTGCTCAAAGCCCCGTCCAGCCTGGCCTGAACATGGAAATAAAGAATTGCTTCTCTAAGGAACAACTTCTGCTCATTTCCTGAGCAATATACCTGTGTTTCTGCATACACAGATAAGGTGGATGGGTTTCTTTCATGTACACTGCTGACTTTAATATTAAGATACTTCTTAGTTTGTTGCATGCATAAGACCGCTTAACAGCACTCAACATGATTGATTAGAACTAATGGCACTGGAATCTTTCTCACCAGATGAAGAACTCTCCTGTTACAATAAGGAGATGGGAGCAGAGACGAGAATCCCACGAAGATGACCAATGGGACTAAATGTAAGGGGACTGTGTAAGTAAGGGGACTGTGTAAGGAGTAAGGGCAGTAGGATTTGGTCTTGAGTCAGGCAGAACATTTGAAAGGTACCTTGATAACCCTTTGCTCAACCACAGTATCCAACCATTCAATAAATGATTCCACAGTGGCATTCTTCTTTAGAAGGTCCTTCAGTTCTTGGAACACTGTAATAGAGTCATCTACCATGTAAAAAGGAGAACATATCATTGCATGCTATTCTGAATGCGAGAAAAAGCCACTCACCAGCAATATGACAATATTGTAGCATGGAAAGGAAAATCAAAGAATTAGAGCAGTGAAGAAATAAGCAATTCCCCAGCAAAGCAAGCAGACACACATTCATCACACATATATATATTTTAATTACTTCAGCATTATAGTGATACAGGTTGTGAGACAATGAAGTTTTACAAGAAAATAAAAGCAAAAAAAAAAAAATAATCTGATATTTTCAATTCCTTTTAAGATTCAGCCTTGAAAACCTTTTATTGCTAAGTTTAGTAGTAAAGCTTTACCTGTAATGTGACAGATTTGAATACTGTCTTAGGTTTACCTTATATTTCACAAGTTTCCCACAATATAGTACAAAACTAACTCCATAAATTCCCATTTTCAAAAAAGTAGGAAATGGGCAACTCAAAAATATGAATAAGTTTCTGAACCATTAAAGAAAACGAACTTCCACGATCAAGTAATATTTAAAGAACAACACACAGTTATTCGGTTCAGCTCTCCAAACTCTGATCAATATGATTCCTATGACAAAAGTTTCAGAGAAAATGGCTATTTTTTTTTTTCAACAACAGGTACATATATGAAAATTAACACTCTCCACTCTAATTCTGTGTATGCAAATAGCTGTTATACTTAATAGAAAATTATGTATTTTGTTAAAGCTTAACAAGCAGCAAAAAAAAATCTATTCATACAAAAGAAATGCAAAGTAGCTCAAATGTCAACTAAATTAAGCTGTAACGATATGGAATTTTTGAGATATCTTTCAAAAATTGATTTGTGCTAATATCCTCATATGATTAGGACAAAACTTCTAAAGAGATTTGATTAAATTTAGCAACTGACATGTAAACGATTTTTCAGCAACCATTTGTGACTTCTCAGCACAAGATTCTGTTGTTGTAGGACATACTAAGGCAACCAACTGGTTTTCTTAAGATACTGAAGTTAACATTGAGCTAGACTAGAGGATGCAGTGCATCTGTTTGACTTTTCTCAGTCCATCTCCAAGTAGACTAGCATGGTACGGAATGAAAAAGTGAATTACTTTTAATGATATATATGTATGTCACCATGGACTTACATTCACTGTAGACCTCTCCATCAGAGTCTGTGCTCCCTGAGACTGCAAGGAGTGCCTGAGAGGCAATACTATTCAAATCAACTTTTTCAATGTCCGACACCATAGAATTCACCACATGCTGATCAAAAAGGGCTGGCCGAGCAATCTGGAAGAAAAGTAAATGTAAGACGGTCAGACCCTGTCATGGTTTAACCCCAGGCTGCAACTAAGCACCACATAACCACTCATTCACTTTGCAGCCCTCCGTGGGATGGGGAGAGAATTGGAAATGTAAAAAATCTCATGGGTTGAGATAAAAACGGTTTAATAATCTTAAAAAAAAAAAAAAGAAATAATAACAATAACAGTAGCAATACCAATACCAGTAACAATAGTAAGGAAAAGGGGAAAAAAATAACAGAGAGAAAAATACAACCCAAGAAAGACAAGTGATGCAAATGAAAAAGGTTGCTCACCACCAACCGATTGGTGCCCACTGAGTCCCTGAGCAGTGCCTCTCTGCCAGCCTTTCCTCAGTTCTTATTGCTGAGCATAATGCCATATGGTATGGGATATCCCTTTGGTCACTTGGGGTCAGTTGTCCCAGCTGTGTCCCCTCCCGCATTCTTGCCCACCCCCAAACTACTCTCTGGTGGGGTGAGAGGAAGAAAAGGCCTTGGCTTTGTATGAGCGCTGCTCAGCAGTAATGAAAATATCCCTGAATTATCCAACTGTTTCCAGCACAAATCCAAACCATAGCCTCATACTAGCTACTTTGAAGAAAACTAACTCTATTCCAGCCAAAACCAGCACAGATCCACACCTGGGGATCGCCTGAATAGCTCCTCAGAGAAGAATCATATTCTGTTTAATCATGGTTGGGGTTTTCATAGATCTGTTGAGAGAAAGTTTCCCTTTCATTAGACTTTAATGCTTTTCCAATGTGCCTTTTTATCAGATTATCTTCCTGATGTCAACCACTTGCTACTTCTGTCTTAATATTTATGAAAGAGAAAACTAAGTTGACTATGTGGTGCATTCATGAGGATTACCGCCCAAGCTGTTAGCACTTAAGTTCCCAAAAGGCATTGTATCCCATTGTATATTCTACCAAACCATCACATGGAGGTGCCTTCTAATTGCAGATACCTTGACCTAAAGAGCCTTGGAGCCCTCGGCTACCTGTCACTCACTTTGCCTAAAGTTCCCATGAGAGTATTTCGTTATAACTATGGTCTTTTCTCTCGTTTCCACTACAAAAGCTTGAAGTTTTGGTCAGATCTATTTATGGTCATTTCCTTCTTGCATGGTTAATACTATAAGACATGAAATCTTCCATGGCCGAAGTTGAAACCTTGAAAAAATAATGCATTGTATCCCATAAACTGAAAGGTGCAGCAATCTAGTTGACATTTTTTTGGATATATAGTCTTATTCGCTTTACCTGTGCTAGGTGTAGGAATGACGTCTGTCGTTTCAGGGATGAAACAAATCTTCGTGCAATAGGCAGTTTTTTATCTGTCAGATTTTCTGGTAGATTTTCCAAAGAGGAAATGACCCACTGTTCCCAATTTTTTGCAAAATTTCTTATATCTGCCAGTAAACTGTAAGAAAAAAATGTGTTTTAGAGAAACATCAATAAAATTTGTCTTGCATTAAGTTAAATAATTAGATTTCAATCCATGATAAACAGAAGATTCAGAGGCAACTTATAACAATCCTCTTATTAATGCCTTGCTGAAAAAATGCTTAAAGCGTATGGTGATGCATAGGAAACAAACCTGAAAAATAATCTGGAAAAAAGGTAACAATTATTTTTCCTTAAACCACACAAGTACATTTATTTCTTTTTTGATCTTATAGTGTGTTAGTGTAGAAGCAGCCTATTTCAACATATCCTACAAGCCAGTGAAATAGGACATTAAAATACTGTGTAATATTTAATATACTGTGTGATGTTCTATAGCTGTCCTTAGACCTAAGCGTATTTTGCCATACATACTCTACTGTTCTAAAAATGAGCATAAATATTGTAAGAAAATTTATCTGGGATATAGAATTTCTGCTCTTCACCTGGAATATGCCTAACAAACATAATTGAGCATGATTATTGGCAAATACCTACCTTTCTGGCATTTCTTGCATTGTTGCAGGGATAAGTACATCTGTAAGGACCTTCAAAAAGGTAACAGAAAATTGTATCAAGCTTCCACTGGCCATTTATTCACTCATGTCTTTCTTGTCTACTTAGATTGCAAAGTGATAAGGATAGGAAATTTATGCAGAATAAAGCCATTCAACATATTGTCCAGATACTTCAAGTGTTATTTAAAGCAGTAATTAGTGGAAGTGATTAACTTATTCAAAGTGACATGTTATTTAAAGTGATATTTAAGTGTTTAACACCAGGTTGGACAGGGTTTTGAGCAACCTGGTCTAGTGAAAGGTGTCTCTACCTGTGGCCTGGGGGTTGGAACTTGATTACCCTTAAGGTCCATTTCAGCCCCAACCATTCTATGATTCTATGATATTTACATACCTAGATTACTCCCATCACTATTAGGTAGGAACATATGAGATATTTTTATATCTAGGTAGCTCCCATTCTTAATGTATGCAGCATGTCAGTAAAACAAGAAAGCGCTATTACTCCTGTCTTACAGGAGGGAAATCAGTAGAAGTGAGATGCATAAACACTTTATCCTCTCTAGCATCACGGTGAGTCTCAGTAAAGCATCTCCCAAGTTCTCGAGTGTTATTAGCCGCTTGACTCTCTGCCATACTGAATGTGGCACTGAATGTGTTCAGAGTTTAGGACAAATCCCCTATAGCTAAGTATGATGTAGAGCTGTTCGGGAAAAAAATGTGCCATCTGGCATGCCTTCTGGGGAATGTTATTGCAGAGGGCAAAGCTGTCAGCTTATATCCCAAAAATCTGTTTCCACTACTGATGTAAATGGTTTGATAACAACACAACAAAATTCCTCCTTCTTTCTGGCAGTTGTGCTGTCAGGAATATCTAACATTATTATAAGTGAGAAACAGTGAGACACAAAGAAGAGGCACAATAGTAAATTTATGAACTTTTGAGGAATTCTGCCTTACTTGATTTATAATTTAGGGCTCCTCTAGTATTTCTTCTTCTGTCACATTAAAAGCTTATTACAAATAAAATTAATATTAGATAGCACATTTGTAGCAAGGAAAAACTCTTAAACTTAAGGTACAATAGAACATCTACAAGTAAATGAGGCTTAATGGCTCATCTCCAAGGCAGTAATTATGATCCTTTATGCTAATCATTTTTACTTCTCCCTGCTAGCTAAAACACCTTTACTTACTTTACAGTTTGATATGCTTCTAATAAATACATATTTTCATCTTTTCTGGATTTTTCCCCCATATTTTTGTACATTAAAGAATGAAATATATGACCATAACACAGTGATAAACAGCCCCAAGTCCCTTGCTTTGACTGCTTGGTGTTTTACTATTAGGCAAACAGTTATTTTTTCCCATCAACATGTGGTTGTGAAATTTGTTAAAGAGAGGATGACAAAAATTTTCTATTTATATGGCATGTCCTATCAGAGAAACCTAAAGTACTTTGCAGCTATTAATTAATGATCCAATCTGATGTTCCAAATTAAAAGCTCCAGTGGCACTACATTTTTTTCCCCAGTGCTCTTTTGATTAATCCTGACCTGGCAATACTCCTCAGTTTCACAGTTTCAACTATTTGTGTGATCATGCTGTAACTAGATCAAATAACACATACAGCACAAAACCTCTGCAAAACAGAAGTTCCTTAGATTTTTTTAAACCCAAACCAGTTTTCAGCAGGTTTGCTGGTACGTCTAGCAGCACAGGAACAGAAACAAAGTGTATCAGGCAGGAGAGACAGGAATATCTTAAACCAATATTCTTCTAGCTTTGTAATATGAAGCCATGGCCTGACATAACCTGTAAGGAGCAGTTTGTGTGTAGAATCACCTTAATGATCTGCCACAGACTGTCTTTGCTGGTAGAAATTGCAATAATCGTAGAATCACAGAATAGTTTGGGTTGGAAAGGACCTTAAGATCATCTAGTTCCAACCCCCCTGCCATGGGCAGGGACACCTTGCACTAGACCGTGTCGTCCAAGGCTCTGTCTAACATGGCCTTGAACATTGCCAGGGATGGGGCATCCACGATTTCCTTGGCAAGCCTGTTCCAGTGCCTCACCACCCTCACAGTAAAGAACTTCTTCCTTATATCTAACCTGAATAAGCTTTTAAGTAAAAACGAGGCTTCAGTTTTCATACAGGCTTAATTTAGCCTTGTCAGTGAAACAGCCAAGCAAGTAGATCAGCATTTCACCATTAGTTTGCTGCCTGTA